TTTAAGCCAGAATGATTTGACATTTAAATATGATTTCCCTACGACTTTAAATCTAAGTACTACAAGTGTTAGCTTGTTTTTGGGCTAATTTTAGTGACTGTTAGACTTTAAAGCAGTGGATTAGCTCTGTTAGCATTGTTAGCACATTTCTATAGTATAGTACTGTATTGTCCAACCACAGGTTCTTCCTTATAGTGGGTTAAACTAGCTATAGATGTTGGATCTATACGGCACCATGACAGTCTGCTCGCTCCACTTCAATGCAAATCATTGCATCTTTCTATCATGTATAATACAAGCAAAAAATATATTTTTAATTGACAATGTCATATTTTAAATGGGTGTGAATACATGCAGAAATCTTACTGTCTGATCTATCAGATATTTAGTACATCAAATTCACTTTCTCTAATAGTTCACTGCATATCAACCCTTCCTCATTTCTTTTTGTCCATCTTTTCTTCCAAATTTTTTTTTTTTTAAATTGCATATTCATCTCTATTCTAAAGCTGATACTCACTACTTAGTTAAAGGGAATAAAATATGCTCTGTTGTTTGAGATTCTCAGAAGTTTAGATAATTTAATCTTCTGATCTGTAAGGAAATAGACACGATTGAGCTAAAACCTGCTCTGCAGGCTGCAGGAATCGCCCTGATTAAGGGTTTCTTTTCCCTTTCTGTTGCTGGCTACACCTGTCATTTTTAGTTTCTACCCCTTATTTATCTGCTGGTCCTGCATCTCTTTTTTCTGTCCGCCATGTTTCCCTGCTAAAGGAGGTATCAGGAGGCTGTCTCACTGAGGAGTCAGGATTCCACTGCAGCTAACAGATGGTCCTCAGAACATGGCTTACATAGCAGCACAGATACAAACAGTGCAGGCATGTGAGGCACGTCTCCCCCATCGAAACCTGTTTCTTTTTAAATTTGCTGCGTCTGTTTAGAACTTAAAATAATAACATGCCATTAGACATGAGGCTAATCCACCCATAAACATGCACACCCTATGCCAGTAAATGGCATCTAATTGTAGATGGTGGAAGATCAGATTTAGCACTATTTGTGCCGAAATAGTCCTTCCACACCATGCAGATTCCTGGGCACCTGCCACCACACACACACACACACCATCACAACACAAGCAACACCCAATAATCTCTGTCAAACTTCTGCTTTCTCTAAATTTTTAAAATTAGTTCCAAAGCAAAAATTAAAACAATAAAAAGAAAAGCAAATGTTGCAATGGAAGAAGAGAAGCTGCAACTAAAAGGAGTGAATAATGAAGTATTGCACATCTTCTGACACACGTTCACGCTAGAATCCTCCAGCACAGATTTGCATGAGACCCCTTCACGCACACACTCACCGTGTCGTGGCTGCATCCGAAAACTCGCAGCACAGACGAAGCCAGTTGCGAAAGAAACCGCTGGGACATCTTGGTGTGAGTGTTTTTGTGTGGAAGCGGGTGAAAGCGGAGCTACATTCTCATCCCCACGCAGTCAGAAGCCCAAAGTGGCGACTGACTATGTGAGACTTTCTTTTTTTTTTTTTTTTTATTACAGAAGACTAAATCTGTGGGGATTTGGGACTGTCCTACCTTCCCCTCGCAAGGAACCTCCCCCTTCCTGGATGCTGTGGCATCGTAAGGCGGCGCTTCGTGGAGCGGGCAGCCTGATTGGCTCGACGTTCTGGAGGAGCTGGCAGAGCCTGTAGGTGAAGAGAAATCATTGGCCGGGAACAAGCTGTCAAAGCAATGCTTGGATGATTCCATCCATCAACAGATGATTTTCCTCAGCTAGCTCTCTGACTTTTGCTCTCCTCCATCACTTTCTCATTGCTTTACCAAGCAACCAATCAGATTCCCATTTACCGAGATATAAAAAAACAATCTGAACCAATCATACCCTTCTACACTTCCTCCTACATCCCCTGCCTTGGCCATCTGTCTGCTGAACAAGCCAAGAGCTGTGAGTGAGTGTAGACGTGATATGATGACATTATTAAAAGGCCGAATCTTTAACATTCTCATTTTACAGCCAAAATGTCAAACTGCGATTCTTTAATGTTTGTTTTACTGAATCGCTCCATTACCACCATTCTTTTTAAGTTTTCCCTTTTCTAGTTTTTGTATAGGACAATGTTTCTCAACCTTTTTTTTCCCTTGTATACCTCAGTCAAAACTATTGATGATTCTCCAAAAGTGGAACGTAAAATAAAAAAATATATTTTACTTAATCTTTAATTTGAAATTTTATTTCAGGCATTTTAATCCTTTCATTTAAAAAAAAAAACATAAATGTGTTCCCTGGAAGTTTATAAGGAATCGAGATAAATACAAAATAAAATCATATTATAAACCTGTATTTATAAAACTGGAGCTCCTCTGAGTAACTCCCTTAATTGGAAGCAAAATACAGAAAAAAAATGATAGTCACACTGACTTAATTAGTTTTATTTGTTTTCATCAAGGCACCTGAGCCGCTTTGATGAGCTTTGATAGCTCAGTGTGAAAAAAAAGCAGATCCCAGGCTGTTCTCTACATCCAGTCTGTTCCTCTTGTTGGTCGTGATGTGGGTCACGGCTGAAGGGGAACTCAAATATAGAAAAAAAAACTAACTTTTTGGTTAATAAAAGCTTGCTTAATTTTTCAGTTGGGTCTTCACAAAGCAGAACAGATCCCAGACCTATTTTATTTTACCATCTAATAAAGAAAATATTTTCATGGACCCCTTGCAATGCCCTCGTGGTACACTAGGGGTACGAGCACAAGCTGTTGTGATCACTGATCAGTCTAACCTGCAGGTTGGTCCACAGACTTGGACTGCTCCATCAGATGCTCCTTAGCTTTAGCAGACTGGGACAAGACGGTGGCTAAAAGCTGCAACCAGATGTGGACAAAGATTCATTAGAGCTCGGATTTAAGGCCATCTCACAATTTAACTCATTTACATTGTAGGAGACTGAACATGGGCTGGAGCGGCAAAGCAAAACATGTCCCAAGATTCAAGGAAAAAGTACAGGAAATCAAATTTTTAAGTAGATTCTAAATGCAGAATAGTTTAAGCTAAACAGAAGTTTGAGGTATTTAGAGTTTGAATGAAGTAGAATTGAGTTGTTTCTGAATGACAGGCTACGGATACGTTATCTAATCAAGGGCAACTATGCTGCAGTTACACATTTTGGACTAAATGTATGGAGGGAATTTTGTTCCATTATTGTTGCAAGCAAAGAACACATATTTTAAGTGAAATTAAAAAACAAAAATGCAATTCAGAAATTAAACTTTTTTTCCTGTTAAAAGGGAGTTTTTCCTCTCCACTGTCGCTACAACCATGCTTGTGTGAGGGATTGTATTTGAGTCAATGAGTCGATGACTGTATGATCTGGTGAACCGTAAAACGCCTTGAGACGACACGTGTTGTCTATTGTTGAACTTTGAAAAACATCTTAATAAAAAAAGAAATGTTTTGAGAGCAACTTTGTTGTTTGCTCAGATTTTACTTTTATAATTTTTTTCAATGTCTTTATTTCAGATTGAATTTGACAATTTGCAATTTTATTATATTTGCAAAAGATAAGTCTATGAACTGGGCTTGAACTGAACTCTACCCGGTTCAAGCAAATCATTTCTACATTTCTGAGACACATTCATAGACAGCAAAATGGACAATTAATATTTCAGACAAAGGCCTCTTTGTGTGTACTAATAATCATATAATTTTGTTGTAACAGGTTTTTAACAAATATGAATTAAAGTTTGTCCTGCTCATTCTTCTTTGTATGTAAAGATAAATTAAAAATATCCTTTTATCAGGACAGAGAGTTTAAAGTTTTGGAATCACTGATAAAAAACCTGCTGATGAAGTAATAACTTAGCATTTTAAAAAAAAAGGAGTTATAACTCACCCATTAGGCTATCACGGTTTTAAGCTAGTCCTAACATTGCTGTTTGTTACACGTAGGTCACATCACCATTGGTAACTCCCTGAATTCTGGCAAAATGGTTCTGAAACTTTTCCAGTTGGGCCCCAATTTTTTTATAGGACATTTTTTGCAGGGCCTACATTTTCTGATGTCATATCACTATACAGATTATCTGACTGCTTAAATAGGCATTTCTCTTTAGACTCATCATTTTGAGGGTAAAACTTGCGTTTTCTTGCCCCTGAAATGGAACTGTATTATTGTACGTTTTTACATATCTTTATAATCCAGTTAATAAACTATTTTAATATAATGACCGTACCTTAAATACTATCTCTACAGATTTTTAAGTTCCTTTAGGAATAAAAGGTATTCCTTCGAAGGAAAAGTCTGGTTATATTCAGAATTCAAAATTTTTTTAAAGCACTTTAAATATGAAATTATTACAAACTGTTCAATAAATGATAAGTGTTTTTAATTCAGAGTAATTTTCATGTGAATGTGCTTTACTGGAGGCATCCATGTTTGTCAAATAACACTACTACCACCTACTGGTTAGTGACGTCACGGTGCGGTATTGGCTGTTGATCAAGTCCCAGTGCTGTATCTGGTGTTTGTCACAACGCGCTATTATCCAAGTCATCTTGAAAACATTCTTCTTCCAAATGTTGGCTACAGATTACGTGTTTTTTCTCTGCCCAGAAGTTCGATGGCAAATCCTCCCTCTTCAAGTTGGCAATCCAACGATGAACCAGTGGAGGATCATGAATCGCAAAGGTGAAACAACAAATATTTTTTCACTTTTACCCGGTGTATTCAAACATCCAACTGCCATGCACGTGGGCGTTGTCAGTTTCACTATAGCTCTGGTGAATTTCAATGGTGAAGTCCTCTGGAAATCTTCAATAATTGTTGTTGATTGCAGACGTGTCTAGTAGTTCCCATTGATTTTGCTTGTAAAGTGGGGAGAATGGCGCTAGGCTTACCGCACCGTGACGTCACTGCTGGAAGATGTCAGCAGTGAGGTGTTACTATATTTGGGCAAAAATGGCTCCCAGAGCGGCCATTTTTTTTACTGATATCACCGCAAACGTATTAGTTTTAGGTATAGATAATGATCCATTAATTATTCCTTACTAACCGGACTTCACCTTAAACTTTTTTTCAATAGAAATCGTCAGACATCTGCTGTAAGTCTTGAGCAGATCAAGGGTAATATCAGAGAGTGTGTTTGTTCCTGCGCACCTTTACGCCCTCTGCCTGCGCGTGGAGGATGTGCGCAGCACTTGTGGCGCTCTGACCGCTGCCGGATGACCTCACGCTGGTCACGCTCCCAGAACTCCCAACACTGCTGCGATCTCCACCTGCAACGCACACACGCACGCACACACGCACAAGAACATACAAGTACAATCAGTCACACACCCACAGCATCGCCCAGACGTTGCGTGGAGACGTCATACACATGCGGAAGCATTCGCACACACAAACACACACACAAAGAAATTAAGCTAACATCCAGGGTTGCAGTGTAAGAGGTGTGGCTCTCCGTGGAAATGCACTGGGCAGCATGTGGGTGGATGGACAGGACAGACAGACAAGCCAACAGATGTCTGAGTGACAAACATAAAGTGGAATAAAGACATGCCTCTCGCAATCAGACTCATCAAATATACACACGCATACTATTCCCTCTATCCATCTTATTCTTTCTTTGCCTTTTTCGGTCTCTCCCACATCAACATCCTCCCATTCGGAAAGACACACAGACTGTAGACCGATGCAAATGCCTGCAGCCTAGACATACGGCTACTATGCTCAGATAGGTTTCAGATGGAGGGATAAGCAGAACATGGGAGACTGTCGGGAGCAGGTCAAAAAGTATCTGAAAGCCTTCAAGCACCATCCTCCTACGGCTCAAACAGTCCGATGGCTTTGTTGTCCCCTGTGGGGGACGGTTGGAAGGCCACAGGTGGCGGGAGGGAAGGATTTTTACAGACGTCAGATACTGTTTGGTCCCGTTCAGACTTTAAGGAGTCAGAGGCTGAGGGCTCAGCGCAGCGCGGCTTAATTACCTGCCACGGGCTTGCGCAGAACCCAGATCTCTTCGTTGGAGCCTCCATGGGGCCCGCTGGATGGGGTGGGAGAACTGTGAGGACTTGCCTCTGAGCCTCGACAACCTTCAACACAGAACACCACTGTTAACCTCTAACCGAGCCCTGAAGTGACAAAGGGAGCTGCTGATTTGATATGGAACCATGTTTTTACAGAAGCAGCAAATTATGTTTATTTTATATTTAGGACCTTCTGTTTTTAGGGGGTTATTTGACAAAATTTTGGTTTGAACGAGTAGTTTTAGTAGAAACATATGTAGCTTTCTCACTTTTACATCTTATTAAATGAAAGAAAGTTTAAAAAAAATGTTTCAATGATAACTGAACCGGCAGCCTGTCATCACAGCTTCATTCTTTCTTTTTTCATTTATAATTATTAATGCCTATGTAATGTTTGTTATCCTTTAGTTTAAAGGTCATAGCTACAACTTCTTTAAACTTTAGAAGGGGGCTGGTTTTTGCTACATCAACATTTTCTAATTTTGCAGTTGGTTTTCATTATGCAAATATGGACTATTTCAGACCATTTAATACTAGAATGCCTTCCTAAATTATTAATATACACTTGTTATTTCAAAACAAATTGTGCAAGTGGAAGCACTTCTCTTTGTTTAAAATGTTATTTTTTACAATTCAAAAGTATTTTGGGGTACATGTAGGGTTGCCAACTCCCTGAAAAAAAATGGACACCTCATGTGTGTGCCAGCTGATCCGACTGCCTTTCCCCCTCCTGGCATGGTGATTTTCTTTTTTTTTTTAGCCCCCCCTTGTGTGTGAAATGAATTTTTTAACTATTTGACTCAAATCTGCATTTAATTATTAGATGCATATTTGCAGTGTGCTTTATATTCATTATCACAGACTTTTTCTACCCAGGTATTTGTTATTTCGCCTCCCTCCTGGTCACAGTACAGGGCCTGAGAACAAATTTACCGTAAGTTTTGTATGTAACGTGCCCTTGTATTTCATTTTCCATTAGCTTATCACTGACTATTTTTTTACTGTCACAGTAATACGGGACACTTAATACGGGACAGGTACTTCTATTTCTAAATATGGAACGATTTCATTTTTCAAGAGACGGTTGGCAAGCCTAGGTAGATGTCTTCCAGAGTTGTAATTTACTTATCTTGCAAACAGATTAGCCCGGTCTGACTGGATATAATCAACTTTTTAATCTTAGCAAAGATTCATAAAAAGGCCGTTCTAATATGAGTTTAATCTAAATAATCAAATAAGGCAGAAAAATTAAGTGTTGATCTCTGAAAGAGAATGTTCTTCCCCATATGTGCTACAGCTAACTATGGCTAACAAATGTCATGTTGCCTTTAACCCATTGCTCTAAAGTAATCCTTAAACGACATTTATGTTGAGACCCCAGCTCACATTTTGAAAGGGACCAATCTGGAGTCTTAAGCCACATTTACTCTACCCTCTGAAAACCAATCCGTGCCGAGTTTGGACCGAGCTTGGATCAGTTAACCGTGCCGAGCTTGGTTCCTTACGACCTTTTACACACCACGCTAGCACGGTCCTCGCCTTTCAGTGACGATCTACGGTACTACTGCTCTCTAGCCGTTAAGCAAACAACATCAACATGGTGGCGCCAATAACATTCAAGAAGTTTGGTTATAATTATGATATTTGGTTGTTTGCGGAGACTTCAGGGGAAGAAGGCAGCCTTTGGTGAATTTACTTGACAGAGGTTTTTGGAAGTGAATACAACAAACAATAGTCTAATTAGGGCTTATGGACGCAGGAAACGACAACAGACATTGAGGTTCATCGCACTGCTAAGCACAATCACTGGAAACCGTGTGGCACGGTAGGGAAGCTAGTATTTTTATGAATGTCTGAAATTTCATGATTACGGAGGCTGACGAATGATGAACTAGTACCATGTTGGCACGGTTCGGTTGTTTCTGGCGCGGTCCGGTTCAGTTGTGCGTACTATTTACACTCAACACTTACCTCGGCTATTGTGCTCGGACCGATCTCGGCACGGTTTCAAAAGGGTAGTGTAAACGGGGCTATAGAGTAACGCCATAGATGCAGTCCATACCTCCTAATGATGCTAATACTTAGCTAAATCAGATAAGCGCATTGTATACACAGACACCAAAAGAAAGTTAGTTAGTGTGGGACAATCTCTCTCTCTCTTGTTTCTTGTCTGAAATATACTGTAGATGGTTAAGTTACCAAACAACAGTATATAAAATATATCTACGAATTGAACTATCATTAGAAAGAATGAATAATCTTGTGGTAGAAATTAGATTATTGAACATAAAAGATAAAAACAAATGTAAAGAATCAAACTAACTTCTAGTATTTTAGCATTTGGTTCCTATGATCCAATTATCTGGAACAAAATCCCAGAAGACTGCAAAAGTGCTGAAAAGTTCTTTTAAATCAAAGTTAAAAAACAATTATTTCTTTTAGAAATGCCTTACACAGTTGAAGTTAAAATTAACTGAGGTACTAATAGTCTAAGGTTGTGGTTGTATCGTTTTATTTTCTTCTGCTTTTACCATGTTTGTTTTGGTTTGTTTTTACTTACTTTTATACTGCTTTTTTGTGGTCCTGTTTTATTTGTTTTACAAATGTTTTTTTTCTTTTATTCTGCTTTTATTTGGTTATTATCTAATGCATTTAAAGCACTTTGAAAGGTCCATGTACTGAATTGGGCTATACAAATAAAATTGCCTTACCTTGCCTTGCCTAGTAGGAACATCTGGCATATTGCCTTTGATTTATGGCGGCGCCCTGTGTCTGAAGCACGGTACTACTGCTTATTTTTGCAAGGCACAGTATATTCCCACTGCTATAAATAAATGTTTATGTACTATTAATTATTTTATTCTTGCCTTTATCTTATAATATAAAATCTAATTTTCTTGAATTTCCAGGATATACCGTTTTCTCAGAAGTAAATGATGAGCAGGGCTGATGAAACTGATCCCTAATCAGAGACATAATGCACAAAGCATGAAGGTCCGTTTTTTTATCTACATCTGAAGCGCATTTTCATCCTCACACATTCTCACATCTTTCTTCTCTCTCCCACACACAGAAAAAGACAGCAGATATATATAAATATATGAAAACATTTATATACTCATTGTGTATACATTATTCCTTACACAAATACCCGTGTTACGTGTATATACACATATAATGCCATAATGTACATACACATACATATATAATGCATCCATTGGCGTGTGATTATATATGTTGGGCTTTTAAGAATGGAGCTGTAGTGCATTTGGAGAGTGGCATAAACCATTATAACCACTTTAATAAGGGTTTAGTAATGGTTTATATGTGCAACCAATAGTGCTCTAGAGAAACACACACATAAGTTTTATTTCCTCCCATGTGATCACACAGCTCCTTCTAGGGGGTCGTTTTTCATCCGTCCAAGTGAGCTCAGAAAAACATCCACAGACCCTCACCTTATTAAAAACATGGATGAAAAGTAGGATTTTAATCCAGGTTGGATAAAGATGCTTATTGCATTTATCTTCCTGTTGGAGGTGACAGAACTGTCGCTAGTTACAGAAACAGAGGAGTTTGTGAAACCTTACCTGCAAATCCTAGAGGATGACATTTTCTAATGGAGTCTTTAAACTTTACTGCTTGTATTTGCAAAGATTTTTGTCAGGAAAATTTGCACTTGTGAGTCAACAAATATCAAAAATATGATCTGTTATCAATCAGGAAGGCAAAAAAATAGATGTATATGGTATAAGTTAAATGAAGACATTCAAAATCCTGCATCTGATACCAAACTCCAATTGAACAAAATCTCTTCCCAATAATAAAATACATTTTTTTTCCTTCTTTTTGTATTTACTGCTGAGTTTACTGGTTTCATCTATGACTCCAGGGTTTAATGGTGATATAGTGGTAAGTACCGCGCTTAGAACGACACACAAACACAAACACACACATTATGGGTGCAAAGTGGGTAAAAGTGACATTAGTCTGATTCAATGGGGGAAGAATGAGACAACGTGGATGGAACAGAAAACGCTGTCTGGTCAGCATAAGGTTTGTAAGGAGGGTGTGTATGTAAGTGGTGATAAGGAGGGGGAAAAGGGAAAAACAAGATAATAATCATAATCCTTATACTGAAGGGGGGAAAAAGGGAAACTAAGAAACCCAGACATCAAACAAAAACACAAACCAACTCAGGGAAACTGATGACAAACTGGTAAAATCTCCTCCATGTTTTCTTGTAGTTTTTTTCCTATTTCTAATCATAGAAAATGCTGATAATAGGTGTTGATCTAAGGGTTAATTTAAAGGTTAAAAAAATAGTGTTTGTCTGCTGAAAGTGTGGCTTAAATTGCAGAGGGTCTAACTACTTCTAAAATAATTATTATGAAACTATCCTGTTTTCTTTACTGGTCCATTCAATAATGATTTCTCACAGAGTTTAACCACAAAGAAGGAAGTTTATTTGGGATTTTAAATAAATGATGAAGGCAAAGTAGCATTTGAATGTACTGGAAAGTGGAAGGGATATATTTTACTGTTAATAATTTTACTAGTAAAAATAGTAAAAATCCAGTATTGACCAGTATTTGCCTCCTGATTGAATACTTTATAGACTCAGGTTCATCAAGCTTTAGGGTTGAACTCTGACTAGGACATTATATTACTTAAAAAGGCCTTAAATTAAACCTGATTTCTGCCCTGAAGCTGCAGGAAGATCTTTGTGTCCTCTGTAAAGTAGATAAAAAGGATAGAGAACCAACATATGGTTTAAGATATAACAATAAATGCCAGTTTTATAAGCTTTATTATTTTTCCTTTTTGTTTAATTAGCTGAAAGAAACAGCTATATGTTTTTGATCTATTTTTCTTGCCATTAACTTGGAAAGTCTGGGCCTGAGGGGGTTTAAAGGGTGCAGACCCTAATCTAAACCCATCCTTTGTGTTTCTAGCTTTTGGAAGGTAAATCCTCAGCCTCACTCTTGAATCTTTCAGACCATCTACACATATTAATATTTCTATGTATTACAAAAAGTTATATTTTTCCCATATCTGACTCTGGAACCATCTGATCCTCCATATCAGGACATTTGAGATGCAGTAGTATTTCTTTAGGCTGTTTTATTTCGCAGTTTGCATTTTTATTCTTTAAATGATCCTGTTTCAAGGATTGTTTTTAATATATATGTACAGTAATTGAGCCAATCTTTATACAAGTTTTTCTCTCACTTTCCTGCCTGGAAGACAATTTTTTATTTATTTATGCTAGAGGTGGTTTTCCATCAAGTCAGTGACTCCATTAAGAACTGGTCTGATTTAGCCTTGCATCTGCTCTGCTTTACCAGAAGATTCATATCAGCGTCTAATTTAACTTCTTTATGTTTTAGTCACATGTTTTCAGATAGATCTTAATACATAGAATGGAACTGATAAAAAAAAAAAACTTCTTATCTTTTGTAAACTGAACCAGGCGCTCAATCATGGAGATGAAAACAACATATAACCGGAAAACAAAATTTAAAATGTATGAGGAACATAGAAAACTTGATAAAAAATGACTTAGAACAGAAAACTTTAATGGCTGCCTTCTCATAAAGAAAAAAAAACTTTAGTGTGCTAATTGGAATCTTAATTGATCAATTAAAACATTTTCAGAAATATATCAGAGAGAAGCATTCATTAAAGCTTTTTAAAGAACATATAATAATAATAATAATAATAATAATAATAATAATAATAATAATAATAATAATAATAATAATAATGAAAAGTGGGTGTGTACCTGGGGCAGTGGGTGTGTCTCCCTGTGGAGTTGTCACGGGCGACCTGTTATACCCAAAGGAAGTGAAAAGTGGAAGCAGTGGCTGATGGGAATGTGGTGGAGGAGGAGGCGGTGGAGGCAGGATATGGATCTGATGAAACGTGGTGTCGTTGCCGTTGACTACCGCGTTGGCAGGGGCAACCGTCGCCGGGGGAACCAGCGGTATCTTTTGAAATTGTTGAGTGCAAATGACTGTGCTGGCCAAACCTAGACAACACCCACCGTGACGAAGCACGGAAACACACACACACACACACACACACACAACCAGCCAACAGTGAACCACCGTCACAGACGAACGACAAAACAGAGAATTACACGTAAGAAAAAAAGAGGAGGGAATACAAAAAATTAAAAACAAAGACTGTGGTTAGAAATCAAACCAGGGGAAGAAGGGGATGGAGCAGGAAGCCGATGGAAAACCACAGGAATGTAGTTAAGGAGGAGCAACAAAGAGGACGAATGATGGCCATGTACAGTATGAACAGATGAAGAAAGGGTGTTCAAAGGGGAGTCCTTGAAGTCTTATAATATTTAATATAACACTAATATCAATACGTTGCATAGTTAAACAGTCATGTATTTCAGATACCAGCTGAAAATAAAAAATTTTTTTAAACCAGCAAACCAATTTGGGGTCAGACCAGATCGAAAAGATCGGATTCATAGCAGAAATTAGAAAAATGCATTGTCTTTAAATGCACGTCGGTGATTTCAAGCAATACAAACTCGAAAGAAGATGCAGTGTTGCTTAACTTCATGTCATCGATGTTTATTCTGAATGCCGTTTAATCAAAAATAAGATCTGCAGAAGAAAACCTGAAGAGAAACTGCTGTTGGTTCTGGTGGAGGTGCCCTCATGAGTGAATAAATCTACTTGCAAGCTATTTTCAGCTTCAATTACATATTAAAATAATGGAAACACTGAGGCATAGGCTGTGTCCAACTGTCCATCATAACCACTATATGGGGCACTATACAGTAGTTACGCCATTTTAGATGAGTGTCAGAATGTCTAGTGGATGAAAAGATAGTGAACTTGAAATTTACCACAATGCACCTTGAAAAGTAGTGATAATCCATGGTCACTTGGCGAGCAGATATATCCCAGATTTACATACATCGGAATTATTATCGGATTTACTGTCACAGAGCCCCGCTGTTGCCATAGGCTTTTGTTACCTGACAGCGATAACTAATGACAAAGATGGCACAGTCAACGCGCAGTGGACAAGAAGTTACATGACCAACTGGGAGCGAGAAGTAGTGATCATCTATGCAAACGGTCAGTTAACAGAGTTCACTATAACGTCCAATGTATCGTCCCCGCTCTATACAGCGATTGAAGGATCTAGGGGTTATGGCGGACCTTCAGACACAAATATATACCTATCTAAAAGAAAACTTTTAATGTGAAGAAGATGATAAAACGTGTATGCAGTTTATTCAGTCGACAGAGGAGTCAAACCTAAAGTCGATAGTATTAAGGCTAATCTGGGAAGATGTATACCAGGGGCAACCAATTAAAAATAACTGGGGTCTGGATAAAGAAAATCATCAACCAGTAAAGGTCCAGAGACATTTTTATTTGCAATCTGTTTCTTTAAATGCATTTTATGCATCCATGCTATACACTGAATTTTTTTGACCGAGTGTTTTTTGAAATAGATAACAACAATCATTCAGTTTGGTAAAATAGACAATTTCCTGATTCACATAGTTCATAAAACACCTAAATTGACTGTGTGTTTTATAAAATATGTTAGGATTCCAGTTTGTGTGGTTTG